GCCAACGGAAGCGAAAGACTATCAACCTTTCTGACATCGTGAAAACAATGTATAGCTTTGATAAGCAACAAATTATGTTAAAACAAGCATGATTAATGAGATATCGATAAAAAGATTCTTCATTCTTTACTTATTGGTAATTTTCAGAGTGAGTTCACACTAGTAGTTCGGTGACAGTGACAGTTAGTGAAATACAAACGACTGAGTGTAAAAGAACAAGCGAAATCGACACATTCATTTTGTGTAAATCTGGCTTAGCTTTAATTCGAATACATTATTCAATATCGACTGACTTTCTTTATTGATGACGCTGTAAATTAAGAAAGAAGATTACATCTTTGAAAAATCCTATTAAACGTATGTAATTTTCTCTAAATTAATAATTGAAGAGTACAGTTAGTGTCTTAAACAAATTCGATAGAAGCAAATCGAGATAGTTTTTTCTATTTGTGAATGACATAAATGAGAGCAGTGTATGTTCTTTGAAGTGTGACTGCTTTCTTTTTTGACAGAATAACAAGTGAATTGACTAAACTATCTTTTACGCAGTGACGAATATAGTCTCTCCATGTAACAATTGTATTGGACTATTTGAAGGATTAATTATCTATTTTTGTGATTATTTTATCAAAAACTTTTCTAAAAATACTATAAAACTGTAATAGACTTGAATTGCTTTGAATTATTGTCAATTATGGTGGCTGTGTGGGTGTTGATGAAGAGAAAACACTCACTCATACTCACATCCACCATAACAGTATTATCATAAAAATGTAAATCATTCAAAATAGAATAGAGAAATGGTCGAAAAGATATAACAAAATTCGGTTGCGCAAAAAACTTAATAAAGTCAATAGCCCTCCTTCAACTTCTTCGTTTCATCAACACTGTGTCTTTCTGTGCAAATCGTCTTGTTTATCATTGGCTTCAATATTTCCATATCTGGTCTGCTATTTTCAACTGAAAAAATGAATTTGTTTTGGGAAAACAAACAAATCAAGAATCTCTTTCAAAATAGATCGAAAACAATCTTATATCTTCGATATTGCGACGTATCACGTTTTGTGAAATTTCTTTAGTTTTAATCATTCATCTGACCGAAATCCCGTTCTGAACTCGAAAATGACAGAGCACGGATCAAAATAATGAAGAGAACGAAGACAAAAATAATCTTTTACAGACTATCAGCCTAGTCGGACTTAAGATCTTGATAGCATCAGATTGCATATAAATAGAGAGTATATCAGCGCCCTCGATTAGAAATACATAACTATGTCTTTTCTCAGCAGTAAAAGCTAACCATTCACTTTGTTCGTATTTAAAATACCATGTGGTGTGAACTTCTTGCTTGCAATAGAAAAAGAAGAAAAAATCTTATTTCTTAACACCTTAATTCCTACGATTCATTTAATAACATCGGCTAATTTTGATATTCTCAGAAATTGACTTTAAATGATGTCTAACAAAATCATTCAGCAAAGTGGTAATATATCGTACGATGAATTTTTCCTTGACTACAGAGTCTAGGATGTGTAATATAATAATAAAATCAATGTTATGTATGTATTTCTTTTTCTTAAGCAAATTTTGAAAGAGTACTTCCGTTTTATTTAATGTCAATGTATACTGATTTTTTTCTCAATGACATTTAATACATGCTCCAAACGGCTAATGAGTCAAGTCGATTTAATCTCATAATAATAATATACCTTTCTTTTCTTCCTTTCAAAAGAAGTGACGATATATAGTAAGTCATAAAACCAAATTGAAAACGACTATATATAAAGTACGTTTTAGTAGGTAGGTTAGCTATTATAATCTTAAATTAGGTTAATATTATTCATCTATGTTTCTTTCCAACTAATTTAGATGGTATTTTATGGTATAGGATGAAAGTCTTCGAACAAAGTATAGAGACGGTACAACTTCAAAAGGCTACTCGTCAATTAATCAGAAAACTTGATAAACGTATTATGCCGTTTATCATGATACTCGAGCTATCTTCATTCAGCTGTCAAATTATTACAGGTATTCTGCATACGTTTCTCTGATTTCGCTCTCAAGAGTTTTTATTTTTTATAGGTCATACTCAATTAACTACATTTAAAACTGATCTCGATTTATCTACAACAGAAGAGGGATTGGCAACCTCTCTGCTCTACATAGGTTATGTAAGTTATAATTGAGCATCTTGTATCACTGACATCAATTACGACTGGCAGACAAATAAAAGAGTCCGAAAAAAAATAAACAACTAAATTTGCATAAAATCTCTCATTTAACGGCGGGTCGAAGGTATTGAAATAAAACATTTACCCCTTTCTGGGCCGCTTAAGACTATTTCAAAGAAGTTAAGAGCAATCTAGCGAAGGGAGAAACGACGTACTCCGGAAGTACAATGGAAGTGTAAAGAGTACAATATATTGAACATTAAGCATGGATTTACACTTTCTTTAATTTTGCACTTAAGTTTCTTAACTTTTTTGTGATATATGCTTTTATTGAAAATGAGGGTGTGGATGAAGAGAACCGTTATATCCACAACCATACTCACACCTATATCCTACATGGAGACAAGGTTAGTCCGCGTTCAGATTGGTCGAAAATGTAAGCCAATTTTTGGGTAGAAGAAGTTATATTTTATGCTTTTAACAAAATCGACAAGTGGCTTTCGGGACTGTAGAACTCGAATTGGACTTCATTCCCCTGGAAACTTTAGTGGTGGATCAAGAGACAATAGAAATCGACCCTCGATAGAAAGTTTCAGTAAAAAGATACTTAAGAATCGTTTGTTTGAATTTGGTGTCTACACGACTTGAACCTATTCTCAACGTAAAATGAATAAATTCTCCCACACTGACACGCTTCTCTGCACTCTGATTGTTTGAAGGATGTTGGTATGAGAGTATGGCTGTTTAATTGCATGTGTGAATGGATGTGGATATGAGTATATAGTTTGGCTCTGGTTGTGTGTGTGTATTATTGTGATTCTAATATTGCGTAATTCTGACACAACCGTATATCCTGCACACATCTCTATTCACACACTTATTTGTTGGGCTACTAGTATTCAAAAATCTGATTGGTTGAGAGCCGGATAGAAAAAATTGTTTATTGACTGAGCACTGAATACCAAAGGCTTCCGATTTACTAAATTTGCTTAAGACAGAAATCTCCCTACTCGATAGTATTCAAGCTATCAGAGCGCAGAGCAATATATCAGCATATGAAAATTCATTCGTTTAAGGTTCACAATAGTGTTTGAAGCCACGTAGATGCAAATATGAACATACTATTCCCGAATACATTTTGTAGGAACTCTCTTTCCAAATTTCAATATTTTTTCGTATCTAACACACCATACCATTTTTCATGGGAATAGAGCGCTAATTGAAGTTCTTCGCTCCCTAAAACCAATTGGCGATTTGGATAAAATTGTAAAAAATCGTTTCGGCGCCTGAAGAGTGTTGTTTGAATTTTCGACTGTTTTGAGCGCGGACAAACGGATCAAAAATGTCCTTATTAAGAAGTCAATCCTTTAAGCATTAAAAATAATTCCATTTTGGTACTTGACAGTATAAAGCATGAAAACTTTTCTGGCTTGTACCTATATAAAAAACAACACTTTAAATATACAAAAGAGATTTGAGAGAAATAGTGTGAGGCACAAAGTGAAGTGGTTGTAGGAGTTGATCTAGTATACATAAAGCAAAACCCAAACGGTTGGGTTTAGTATATATCTTGTAGTGAAGCATGAGCAAAACTATATCTACTGTTGTCGACATACAAGATGGAAACAACAATCTGGATTTACCAAGTTGTTTTTCTTTACTTCAGCCTTCTTCCTCCATGTAGATGTGCGTTACTAACAAAAGTAAGAAGGACAACGCAATCTCTCGTTTGGTGATTTTATCCTAGAAACTCTATCTATTGTACATACTCTGCTCCCTCCCCTCCCATTCATTGCATAATCTTTCTAAAAAAAATGAAGCTTAATTAACTTGTTTAATATTTATTACATACATGTTATGTTACAATCAGTGTACTTTTATTGTACTTCGTATGCTTCATTATACTCCGAGTACTCAGTGTACTCTTGGAATACTGAAGTACGTCATTTCTTCCTTGAGTCTAGTCTACTCGAATTCTTTTGGAAAAACGCTAAAGATATCGAATTCCTTAATTTTGTAGAGCGATCGTTACTTAACGAAAGAGACTCTATTTTAAGTCCACATTCAAAAATAGCACGAAATTTTGATTCCATACCAATACGTCGTTTGCTTCCTCTGAAATATTTTTAAACCGTCAAATATGATCAAACATTTATTTTGTTTCAAAAGCTTATGACCACCGATTATTAAGTTTTCTGTCTATTCCATAGATTTTAATGGATCTATATTTTAGGTCCGAGTTAAAAACGAATTGTCTAGTTTTTTGTTTTAAGAAAAATTAGTACTTTTAGTACTTGTTTATGGGTCAACATAACTGACTATTTTTTTTTCATATTTTTCTTATAGATTCTCTCTGGAATTCCTAGTTTTGTTCTATTACGTATTCTCGGTGCGAAATATTATTTATCGTTAAGTATGATTTTATGGGGAACGGTTACGATTGGTACGGCTTTTGTAAAAAATGCCAGAGAATTATTCGCGGTTCGTTTTCTTCTTGTAAGTTATTCGAAAAGTAGAATTGTCATGAGATTTTATGGTCTTTATGTTGAAGGGAATGGTCGTAGCAGCTTATTTTTCTGGCATTACTATTTATATTTCATTGTGGTATCGAAAAACAGAGCAAACAATGAGAATATCTCTCTTCGCTGGAGGTGCCATTATTGGTGGCACTTTTGGAGCAGCCATGGCAAGTATTTCCGAGATGATTAGTTTTCAGTTTCACTTGAAAACTACTTCAAAGATCTAATGCTGCATTTTGAGATGCCATTAAAATAAATAGATAATCGATTTGAAGCTTATGTCTTATTGTAGTCATATGCAATTACTCAAATGAGAGATATTGCTGGCCTGAAAGATTGGCAATGGATTTTCTTACTCGAAGGTCTACCGATCATTCTGCTCGGTATTATTACCTATCTTTTTCTCGGCAATATACCCGATACTGTTCAATGTAAGGAGACAGGAAAATCAAATAAATTTTGAACTTGCTCGAGTATTTAGGGTTAAGTAATAGTGAAAAAGAACTTCTTACAAACATTCTTCGAGATGATGCTGGTATGACAAATGGCGAAACAGACTCTGGTTCTCGGGTTTCGTGGCGACAAGTACGATATGTGATTATGGATTGGCGAATTTATCTTTATGTTCTAATCGGTATTGGACTTTTGAGTGCTATGCAATGTCTTACATTGTTTCTTCCATCCTTGTTTGATGGTATAAGTGAATCAGTACATCTAACCCATTTGATGGCAGCACCTATTTATATTATTGCTTGCCTGTGCTGTTTATTGGGCGGCTATTCATCGTCACGTTGTAATGAACATGGTTTACATACTGCCTTTTGCTTATGTGTCTCCTTGATCGGTTTCATATCAATGCTAAGTCTAGCAGATCATGGCAAAATGGCCATCTATATCAGTAGCTGCATTGCTTGCTGCGGCATATATACAGCGTTTCCTATTGCATTAAGTTGGTTGACGATAAACATTGGTGGTCATACAAAACGAGCAGTAGCTATCTGTTTTTTCGTGGTAACTGGACAGTTAGGAGCCGCTATAGAATTTCAAGTGAGTTTTTGAGAACTTACATAGTGCAGTGTAAGCATTAATGATAAGAGAACAATATTTTTTCTATAGATCTATCGTCAAGTTGATAAACCCACTTATCGACGAGGGCATGCAATTTGTGCTGGAGCAGTGATGATTGCCTTGATAAGCACTTTAATTTTACGTAAAAGTTTGATGAGAGAAAACCAACGGCGTGGACATTTATCACGTGATGAATACGATCGAGAAGCAGCCATTGAAGAGCCATGCGATAGAGTAAAGTTGACATTATGTTTAAAAACAATAACATTGTTTAAGTGTTCTATTTAGCATCCAGAATTTCGATACGTTCTCTAAGTTAAGTTAACTATTCAAGACGTCAAATATCATTCTGTACGGTCAAAATGTCAAGAGTGCAAGTTAAAACTATTGTTGAAAACAATTGATAAATTTATTTGAAATAAAGACATCATCAAATGTACATGCTAGAGTGTTGTTTTTCAAGAGGAAACTATGATTTCGAATCGATAGATACGTATTTGATTAATAACTCAGCGGGTGTGGGTGTGCAGGTGTGAGTCTGGGTCTAGGTGTAGGTTTCACTGTAGTTCTTATATTCAACCACTGCCATACCCACAGTGGCGCCCAAGCCCACAACCAAATTCACTCACACTGACACCCGCACCCCAAAAACCTATATGAAAATGATATTTTCAACGCTGATGGTTCTTAAGTTAAACAGTGACGACCTACAGCACAACAAAATCAAGTAAAAATGTCTGATATTGCAGCCTAATCAAAATGAGCTACATGTCGAAAAAATCAATGAATGCAATATATGTTGAACCAGAATTGGATAGTTTCGAATATATTTTCGTTGAAACATTGAGTGAAAAATGAATGAAAACAAGTAATTCTAAAAAATCGTATCTATAATAAACACAACAACCAAAACGAAGAAGATCATTAAATTAGATAAAATAAAATTTCCTAAGCAATAAATTTTCTTTTATTTCATTTCACTTTTAGTTTTCTCGTTCGGATGGATCTAATCGTGATACATGTCCATGTGACAAAAAACAAATTATTTTTAGGGGTAAACGGCGGTTAATTGCATCAACAGGAACTGATAAACCGCCGGTTTTCTGTCGGTTTTTATTACATGGGTGTTTTACCAACAAAATTTGCATTAATTTTACAAGAAATGTGTCATTTAGCATCAAGGAATAATAGTGCTTCTGTTCAAAATTATGCACAATCAGATACAGCTTGGAATGGCATGGAACCACTTTGAATTAGTTTTGTAAGTTATTAGAAGAAAATCTTTTCGACAAGATAAGTTTTTCTTTCTTATTGATAGTTAGATAAATTTAATGATAATAAATTATTGACAGCTATTACATTTAGTAGAAAATATTATCCAAAAGACAATGCATTTACTGATAAATTTTCTCTTTTACTTGCCAATGGTTTAAGACGTTTTAATGTTCATCAGGTACATACGTAGCTTTTTAAAAATCAATTTTTATTGTAGAAATGTGTTTTTGTTTTAGATTGTTCGTATTACAACATTTGCAGCTAAAAATCAATATTCGAAATTTAGTGTTGTTACGTGATATGTGATTGTTATCGGTACTAGTTTTTGTTATTATTCATCAATCAATATTTATACTTTGATTTTTAAATTGTTAATGGTCGTAGATCAAATAAGTAGATCACCAGATTTAAGTATTGTTTTTACTAGTGGAGAAAGTAATGGTACTACTGGACAAACAACATTCAATAAATTACTCATTAATGAAAATCATGTCAAGTAGGTTAATTAGTTATTAGCAAAAAAACGAAATTATTTATCTTCATTTATATAATTAGAATTCCATTTAAATGTAATGATTATCAAAAATCGAAAAAAACGAAATCATTGAACCTTTACAGACCACGTACTTTGGTTTTAGTTTTTATTCTTCATTAAATTAAATAAATATACAAATCCACATAAATATATAACTTCATTCACACACACAGAAAACGCATGAAAAAGAAGTCCTTTACAACATAAGAAATCCCAAAAAAATCTGTGTCTTTATTGTTATCATCAGCTGTTAAACCAAGTGCTTTTGTTGTTGCTAAAGCACTTGTACTAATTACCATGTTTCCATTTTCGGTCCTGTCATCATCTTTGAAAAAAAAAAGTTTTATTATGATCTTTTTTCAGATTACTATTTACCTTACCAATATTTTCTTCGTCATTATCAGCTGTTGGGTGAAGTACCTCACCACCATCCTATGACATTTGTTCTCATTTTTTTAACAATCAGTTCGTTATTGAAAAGAACAGTGTCCAGTTGAACTTTAGCTTTTGCTATTTCATATTCTGATTTCTTTTTCTCTACAGCTGTTTTCGCTTTGAATTCAGATATTTCGAATGCTCTCGTAGCTTTGTCCAACTGAACGTATTTTTCTTGTGCAAATAAACGAAATAGTTTATTCTAAATAATTATGCATATAAATAAATTTATTTTTTACAGATGTTTATCTTACATTTAATTTTGCACCGTGAATGCATTGGCATAGAAAAAGAAGCGACATACTGTTTTTCTTGATTCAGCTTCATTTATATTTGGGATCGATGAAGTATTACGTTATTAATCTTTTTAGCCATTTTGATCCCTCTCCGCACCATGGACAGGGTGAGATGTGGGTGTTCATATTGTCTTTGCGACATCCACATCTGCCCACATCTGCAAGAATTCAAGTACACTTTTAAATTCACGACGACCCATTTTCAGACATGTTAATGGTCCTTCAGCTTTTGCTGTACTAGCTTATGGTCGATTAAAGAATGAAACTAAACTACCAAATGATCATATGAATGCAGTTTTTCAATTTCAACAGCTATTTTGTCATCGGTAGTTTTTTTTTATAAACAATTGCTACACCTAAGTAAAATTATTTTTAATGAAAGAAAAGAGAATTTTTCTTTTCTTTTCTTTTACCTTCCAGAATAATGTAAAAACATTTTCCTTCTTCATCTTCATGAAAAAATTTATCATCATTGTTGAATTTTACAATATACGAATTCATCATAAAGATGAAGCCGATCAATATCGTTGAGATACTTGAATATATTCACGAATTGAAGTAAATATTTCCATTCGACCATTTCCTAAAAAATAAATCAAATTAATTAGACTAAAAGGTCTCATTCTGTTTACCATCATATCACCGTCATCTTCTTTGAATGGTCGTTGCTCTTTCACTGGCATTTCTTTGCGAAGTTTCTTCATCTCAGATATTTAACGACACAAAAATCTTTTAATAAAAAATGATATACTTTATCTTGGTGTGTTTTAAAATCGTCCATTATGCTGCTTATGCGGTGAATAACAAGTTAAAATAGATGAAGATCTTTGCTTCTATCACGCTTGATTATTATTTTGATCAAATATAAACGAGATGATTTGGAAAAAAAACACGAATATCTTCTTTTAGAATTCTATATAACACAAAAGAGAATAAGGTTATATGCATGCATAGAATAGAAAGAACTCCAATTTATTTTTATAAATTTCGTCGAAAAAACGTGAAATTAGTTCATTTTCAATTAATAGATACTAATAAAGTCAAAATTATTGAGCAGCTTATAAAGACACTGAAGGAGTGTCCTCTTTCGAAATGTTTATTTATTAGATAAATAAATACAACCAATCAAAACATTCGAGTATATCTGAAGAGCGTCCTAGGACTGATGTCTGAGAATTCCTCCGATATCTAAAAGTACTAGCCAAAAAGTCAAAAGATTTCTGGAGGAACTGAGAATTGACCCAAAACAACTCACATATCCCCTATAGTTCCCAATAGATTTCACGTGGAGAACTATCGTCCACTGCATATAACATAAGTTTCCATCCTCAATTACTTCTCAGTGCCACAAATTCTTTCATGGTGATTAACCGCTGAGAATACCTAAAAAGAGGAATTGGAGAAATAACTAGCACTGGCAGTCAATATATCCCGGAGCAATTGACATTGCCCTCACAAACCATCATTAAAATAAACTTCACAAATTTCGAAAAAGAGCTATCACACAGATATCTAACGAAACAGTGCAGTTCAGGAATTATAACAGTTCTGCTGATAATACTAAGAACTGTTATATTTCCTCGATTCTCTGACTATTTCCCGTATCCAGAATAACATTGACAAGTTATTAATAGTATATCAGTTCTCCAGTTTCTCGGGCTATTGAGGAGAGGTTTATTCTGGTGTGTGAGTGTGGGGTGATTGCGGAGTATCAGTATGGGTGTCATTATGTACTATTCATACTCACACCTGCACCCTCATGATCATAAAGTTATTTAATAATATCAAGTTTCATTTAGATTTCATTTCTGATTTCATTGAATTTAACCAAATACAGTGATTCTTGTTTCGAATGTGAAAAACGAATACGGGCGTGAGTGAAAGGAATGCCTACTTCACGCTAACATCCACACTCCTAACTAGGTTTATTTATGCTCATTTCATATGAGCATGAAACTCTTGACTACAGCTCTCATATGATACAAGAATGATAGGGATTCGTATTAGTCAAGGTAGAACTCACAAGTTTATCTTTGGTAGCTCTATGTATTTTATATGTATTCGGCAAAATTAGAAACATGAAATACATGAAACGACAGAATTAGGGATAGGAAAAATTCTGCCGGCGACCTTTTTTATCCTCTGAAAAGAAAATGAATTAGATGAGCATAATTTTTTCCGAAAAGCATGTCAGAGATACTCTATATCACAATGAATCGAATAATATGTTGTTTGCCATCAGCTTCGATCGTTTTCATGCTGAAATTGTTTTTCTTTTCTGCAAAAATATGCAATTTTATATATAGACTGTCCAGAAAGTCACTACTGAAAACAACAAATTTCAATATCTGTATTGTATTTTGACCAAACGAGTTGATTTTTTTTACCACTGAAAAAGTAGCACTCACGGCCCATACTCATAACAGTAGCGTTAAGAAAAATTGTTTCGAAGCATCACTTTTGATTTAAATAAGAAAAGAATGTCATCCCATGGATGTCAAAAACATTATGTATGTGTATGACATCTTTATACTGTACGACATCTTATTTTATCTAAAAAGAATTAAATCAGAAACATGCCTAATTATAATTTCATAAACAATTAGCCTAGTTCGATAGAGGGATGGTGCATTTTTTCGAATTCATTCTTCCAAGCAACTTTTAAAACACACTGTACATGGCATTTTCTCGAAATCTTTAGGAGGACACTTTTTTCTTATTGAAGTTAAAACTGATACTTCGAAACAGTTTTTCTCAATGTTACTGCCATGAGTATGAACCGTGAACACTGGTTTTCCAGTAGTAATAAAACAATCACCTGATTTGGTCAAAGCACGATAAAGATATTGGAATTTTTTTTGAGTAGTAACTTTCTGGACAGTCTATATATAAAATTGCATATTTTTGCAGAAAAGAAAAACAATTTCAGCATGAAAACGATCGAAGCTGATGGCAAACAACATATTATT